AATTCGATCTTTTCAGCTTTTGGTACCACTATCGCAGAAAGGCTCAAAGACCCAATAGTTTATTAACAGTTGCCTTTCAGGGATAGTTTTCTATGCTCAGAACATGTTTGAACTCATATGTCATTCTCACCTGAAATCGGATTTTTTTGTTACTATCCGTTAGTTTAGATTGCAGAGAATTCGCAGTTCTCATAAGCGAAAAAAACTGATATCGGATGCTGACCTATCTCGACTAAAAAAAACCACTTTAAAGCTGTCCGTCTTGATCATTGCATTAACCTACGAATACATCCGCTCCTCATTGCTTCTTACCTCGCGATCAAGCTACCAATTTCACTACATGTTTAAAATGTTATTTGTTATCAATTTGCTCTTTCCTGGTGAACCATAGTTACTATGGTTGAACAAAACACAAAGCTAAAAAATCAAAACAATTAAATGTTAACAATCATAGGACATGAAAAGCTGGGCTTGCTTTCACAAGACAGACACAGAAAATTAAAAATAACTAGTATTCTTAGGTTATAATTATTTACACAGGTTATCTTTGGTAAATTATAAACAAAAGCCACATCCTCACGTATCCGGATATTTTTGAAAACGGAAACTTTTTCTCCGCTCCTTAAAAAATACGCTTCCAAAAGTGTGTTTCAAAGTTTTCGCCAGGAGCCCATCAAATGGAGCTGCTTGTCTCACAGTAAGAGGCCATGAAGCTGGTCTGTTCCATGAATAATGATTAACTAAAATGTTAATTACCAAAATTAAGATTGACATAGTCAGAGTTTAAAACTCTCAACAGTATAATCTCCCCTCTAGAAATAAAAGAAAGAAAATCTCTGAGGGATGAAAACGCTTAAGTCAAGTTTCACTAGGTTATGATTGTGTTTGGTCTGTCAAGGCCGAATTACCTGCTGTTTGATGAAGTACAATAGCACTGTTATTTCGTCACTCAGATTGGCTCTTCCCACCGTCGGCGCCCGAAGTCTCCTCTGGGAACCGTTCTAATTAGGGTTGACTCCAAGGGCTTGTATGGGAGTTGGGGGCTCTGTTTGATGGGCTCCTGCTTCTGCTCTTTTAACTGCGGTTACATGAGAAAAATGACGTTTGAGTGCTGAAATACACGAAACCTTTCTTTTTCTATTAACATTATTATATGTTTTTGTATTTAAAGTCCTAAATTATTCCTCTGGTCCAACTGCACTTCTCAAGATTTAAACACTGACTTAAATGTTAAAGAAAACCGGAGACCATTGCACATCAGAAGCCTGCGAATACAACCGCTCTTCATTGCTCCTTGCCTCGCAATCAATCTGCCACTTTCTTTAAAATGTTCTTTGTTTATAATCATAAACTTACCTGTTCTTTCAATAAACAAAACTGAAATGTCATGAACATGACGTTACCTGGAGCAGAAACTTTACTTTAAAACCGTTGCTTAGAGTTACATAAGAAAAATGACTTTTACGTGCCAAAATACAATATGTTTTTATCAATATATATTTATGAGATGAGCCACGTTTATTTCAAAACCTAGACTTCCTTTTCTCATAGTAAGCCAAATTTTGTGTCACATTTGTATATTAAGTCCCAAACTGTTCGGGTGGTCCAACTGGGTTTCCCTGCAAGATTTAAACAGTGACTAGTAAAAGAGAGGCATAATTTAAAGCGCCAAACTGTCACATAAACGTACTGGTGAGGTATGTAGAAACCTTAGTTAACGCGTTTTATTTATAACAATAGCGGTGCTTGGTGGCGAACGGACAAATTTACAATACGTCACTGAGGAAGTCAACGAGGAAAATAATATAATTCATTTTTCGATTTTTTCAGCTTAGGTACCACCATTTTACAAAGGCTCACAGACCCAATAGCTTATTTGACAGCTTCCTTTCAGTGATACTTTTCTGCGCTTAGATCATGTTTGACTCCATTTCATCAAAGAACACAGATTCTCGGCCCGCGGGAATCCACATGATGCTTTATCGCTTCAAGTTGGCAAGACTGGATTTTTTTTAGGGTGAATACCTCTCAAGCTGGAGTATTGACGACTTCGATAATAACAATAATATTGGAACTGACCGGTTATCACAGCCCTACTATAAAAAGATGAAAATTTGTTGTGATATATGTTTCATTGACACGGGAGTTGTCATGTACCTGCCTTAGTTGCCTCGGTTATGGCACAAAGTTTGGACAAATTCTATGAGAGCATTTTGGAAATATTTTGAATGAAGTTTTAAGATTCATAAAAACAGTGGACATGCTATCGACAACATTGTCCACAAATATGTAAAGGAAATGATGAGGTCTGGAAATGTAGTTTCATGTCATGGTGGTTTGATTCTATTTGAAACAGTGTACGAAAAAAGAGGAGGATTAACTGAATTTGCTTCGGCTGATTGCGAGAAAGAAGAATTTTATTAGCGTGCGCTCGGCTGCTTTTTTACCATTCTTTTATGTAATTTGGTCCACGCCTACAAATTTGTTCGCAATAATTTAAGAACCACTCGATACTTAACAATTAATGAATGAGGCTGAGTACGGTCTGGACGGATAACACCCTCCCCGATCTCCATAATTCTTTATATGATACGAAAGCCGAATTCAATAATTGTTTTATTATTCTTTCAAAATAATTCCTAGTTTAAAAACATGGCTAAAACATGCTTACCTCGATAGTGCACGTTTCTAAGGTTGTTCAGCTTCGAAAATATTCTCCAAATAGCAGATGTCGCCCTTCGAGTTGTCTTCTTGCTGTTCTCTCCATGTTTTTGGCTATTTTTTCGCCTAGTTCAAACTCTTGAAACGAGTGAAATGTCCGCCATTTTTCAAGTTCACAACCAAAACAACTCAACCTGCATTTTTGACGTCATTTCCTCGCTAAACACAAAATTCTTCCAAATTTGGTCATCAGTAACTGGTTATAGTGAATTAAACGTGTGCTTTTAGCCAATCAGAATCGGGGAAATATTTTAAATGAATAATAATAATAAATAATTAAAAACAATTAAGAATCCCGAGATTAGTTATCAGTTTATCCAAGTTTCAAGGACATTGAAATTAAGGAAGGCCATTAAATGGGCTTCAAGTGTCATATTTTTCCCCTGATGTTGTGTACACAAGTGAGCTTCCTCATTAGATCTCATTTTCTTCTTTGGCATTGTTTTCAAGTTTCGTATACGTGCACCGGCAACTTTAGCCAAAAAAAGTAATTTGCATTTAGGGGGATAAGCCCAACTTCTCCCCGTACAAACTGCTTGCGGTTCCCAGGCCAACGGCTACCATGCACATGTGTACGGCGCTTAAAGGAGTGCTTTGCACTCGCCTTGGTAGAAGAGGCAGGGTCTGTGATCGTAAGTGAGACCGTGCTGGCTATGCCATGCTGGCTATGCCATGCTGGCTAACAAGGACGAAACAGGTGTTCATGGCTGCGACTGACTTGGTGTTATGGTTGAGCGCATGCGTAAGGTACTGGCCATACCGCGGAGTTGGTAGTGTGTTCTTCAGTTCATAATTGTGGTCTTCGCCCCCCCCTCCCCAAAACCACTATATTTATGGGGGTCTTCTCTGTGAGAAACAAACCTTTGACCAATATGGAATGGAATGAAATCTTCTTCCCCTCCTTTAATTGAGGTAGGCTTCTTGAAGGCACAATTTACAAAAGAAAGATGGGGAGGAGGGGAAAAACTTGAAATCGCCGATTTCCCATCCTTCTATCCTTCCTGACCCTGTCCCGTTTCGACGCTTAAAATTCAGGTTTGCCAGAATAACTTTTATCAGACTTTTATCAGTTAAAGGTGATCGTTCGTCTGCCTCTCCCATGTTTTATTGCACGGAGCCCTTTCACCGCACTGCACCCATACTAGATCTCGGCGTTAATACTAGAAACTAGCTGTTTTTTAATATTAAAAATTTTGTTCTGTGAGCCTTAACCCGTAGTTGCTCTGATATCCTCATTTGCTTACTTTTGAGTTTTTATGTTTGGACATACTCTCCGACTGCTTGTTATTTAGAGAAAGTTCGCACACTTTATGCCTGTTTAACATTACCCCTTTGTTGTAAATTACTTTTGATTACAGGTTTACAACATACCCCATATAACCTACAGCTATGTCTGCGATCATAACAAGCGTCTTTAAGGTCACTATTGGTTTGGCCGCTACAAAAGCTAGAAATGTACTGGCAGAAAGGCTAAAAGAAGGCGATGTACCAGATCAAAAATTTCGGGACCTTATCGTCAGTGACATTAAAGACATCAAGTCAAAGGTGGATGCATTGTCACGAAAAGATCTTGGAGCAGCTGTAGATTACTTTGAAACAGGACTAAGGTTTTTGAATGATGCAGTTTATGGACGACACAGTGACAGTGCTATTAGAAGAGCAGCACAGGAATCTGAAAGAAAGGAAGAAAAACGTCTTGATGATTTAACTTTGCCTTCAGCCACTTCTCCTGAAACCACAGTTGTCCTCGCTTCGGGAGTTAAAAACATCCAGCTGACTAATTTGGTCGACGAAGAAGCGAAAAGGGCGCTTTTTGACGCAAAAGACACATTCAGTGATGCTCGTAAAAAAGCAACAGATGCCTCCAACAATGAAGCGCTCAGCACGTTTCATCGAATTACAGCCATTCGATATCGTGTGATGGCGGCAATGTTAGAGTCAGCTGCTGATATGGCTGTAGGAACCGCTAGCGACTTGAGACGCACCTTGAAGAGAGCGTTGCCAGAGTGCGAACAGTGTCTTCAGAAACTCTTCTCCCTTCCAGCTGTTCAGAAAAGTTTTAGGGTCAAGTTTGGGAAGATGTCAGAGGTCGATTTGGTAAAGATGAGCGAAGAGAAATTATTTCCATTGTCTGTCAGATAAATCGCGTCATCTACGATGCGACACAAGCTGTTGGTAGAGATGTACATGTCTGGTTCTGGCCATATGTTGACACTGGAGAAGAAAAAGTTGACCCTCTACGCGATGGAAGAATATCAAAGGTACTGCACAAAGTCAATATGGAGCACTGTTGCATTACACCATGGTTATTTGGTCAGGAGGGCGAAGAAGAGCACAAGCTGAAGGAGCCGCGTGGTATCGCTTCAAACACCAGACGGCAATTCCTGATAGCAGACGATAAGGATAAAACCGTGAAGGTGTTTGATAGCAACGGAAAGTTTAATTTTAGGTTTAATCCTCAAACTGATGACGCCGAAAGAGAGTTACATATTTTGGATGTGGCCACTGCAGGCGAGGACGACAAGATTTTTCTACTGGTCATACTGGAGAGGCCTGGGGCTTTTGAATGGGAGAGTGAAGTGCAGGTTTTTAACAAGACTTCTGACCTACAGCACAAGTTTCCTGTGAGGCACGGGTACCGGAACAGACTAACAGTGAGCAGCGGCAAAATTCTGCTGTTGGGTAGGTACTTTAAGTAGAGGTATCAAAGTGTATCAAGAAATGTAAAGAAATAGCCATGTATGGCCCATGTAATGCCATGTATAGCCATGTATTACCACGTATAGCCATGTATACCCATGTATAGCCATCTATTACCATGTATACCCATGTATTGCCATGTATACCCATGTATACCCATGTATTGCCATGTATTACCATGTATAGCCATGTATTACCATTTATACCCATGTATACCCATGTATTGCCATGTATTACCATGTATAGCCATGTATTACCATGTATACCCATGTATACCCATGTATTGCCATGTATTACCATGTATAGCCATGTATTACCATGTATACCCATGTATAGCCATGTATTACCATGTATCGCCATGTATAGCCATGTGTGCCTATGTATAGCCATGTATTACTATGTATACCCATGTATTGCCATGTATACCGATGTATAGCCATGTATACCCATGTATAGCCATGTATTACCATGTATACCCATGTATAGCCATGTATAGCCATGTATTACCATGTATAGCCATGTAATGCCATGTATAGCCATGTATAGCCATGTATAGCCATGTAATGCCATGTATTATCATGTATAGCCATTTATTACCATGTATACCCATGTATAGCCATGTATACCCATGTATAGCCATGTATAACCATGTATTACCATGTATAGCCATGTAATGCCATGTATAGCCATGTATAGCCATGTAATGCCATGTATTATCATGTATAGCCATGTATTACCATGTATACCCATGTATAGCCATGTATAGCCATGTATTACCATGTATTCCCATGTATAGCCATACATACCCATGTATAGCCATGTATTACCATGTATACCCATGTATTGCCATGTTTACCCATGTATAGCCATGTTATCCCATGTATAGCCATGTATTGTCATGTATTACCATGTATACCCATGTATAGCCATGTATAGCCATATCTTACCATGTATACCCATGTATAGCCATGTATAGCCATGTATTGCCATGGATACCCATGTATAGTCATGTATACCCATGTGTAGCCATGTATAGCTATGTATTACCATGTATACCCATGTATAGCCATGTATTGCCATGTATTACCATGTATAGCCATGTATTACCATGTATAGCCTTGTATAGCCATGTATTACCATGTATACCCATGCATAGCCATGTATTGCCATGTATAGCCATGTATAGCCATGTAGTGCCTTTTATAGCCATGTATTGCCATGTATTACCATGTATTACCATGTATAGCCATGTATTACCATCTATACCCATGTATAGCGATGTATAGCCATGTATTATCATGTATAGCCATGTATTGCCATGTATTACTATGTTTTGCCATGTATAGCCATGTATTACCATGTATTACCATGTATTACCATGTATAGCCATGTATTACCATCTATACCCATGTATGTTTATTTGTTTGTTTACATACATGGGTATAGATGGTAATACATGGCTATACATGGTAATACATGGTAATACATAAACAAATAAACAAATAAACAATCATTTTAGAAAGTGGGAAAAGTTAATAAGCGTTTTTACGTAAAAGTGATGTTATGATTAATTTCAACAATAAGTTTAAAGAGATGTCATTGTAATTTACATGCTAAGTAACTTATTGCTGTAATAGCTTTGTTTAGCTTTGTATTTTTTGTTTGTTTGTTTGTTTGTACTATATATGTGTGTGTGTGTGTGTGTTTTTCTTAATTTCTATTTTGTATGTAAACGTAAGAAATGCTTTAATTAAAAAATATTAAAAAAAAAAAAAAAAAATCTATACCCATGTATAGCGATGTATAGCCATGTATTATCATGTATAGCCATGTATTGCCATGTATTGCCATGTATTACTATGTTTTGCCATGTATAGCCATGTATTGCCATGTACTGCCATGTATAGCCGTGTACTGTCATGTACAGCCATGTACTCCCATGTATTACATGTATTGACACGTATTGCGTGTATAGCCATGTATTGCTATGTATTGCTATTTATTACCCTGTATTGCTATGTATTGCCATGTGTAGCTATGTGTTGGCCATGTTTGTCCTAAGTTGGAATAAAGTCAGTGAATTGAAAAGTCTTTTTTTTGTCTGCTACATAGTTGAGGGGTAGCCCAAGAAAAGGCTCTTTTTTCGAAAGAAAATATAGTTTTTTGAGGAGGGCAACATCCTTTCAGGATTGTAAACGGATACTAGTTGACAAAGATATTCAAGTGCCATTCGTCACTTTAGAAAATACTCTCGTTAAAAGTCAGTTAAGAACTTATTGCCCGCCAAGAGCAGGGAAAGTACTTACAGTTGTTATTTATAGTCAGTATACCAGAAAAAAATATCGATTTCTTTTATAGATAGGGGCCGCAAGGGATAGGTTGTTAACGTTTTCTTTTGTTCGCGCCCGTAAGTAAGAGATGGTTAGGATGACGTAAAACAGAAAATCCCGAAGGGATATATAAAAGGTTTCAAAGGTTTCATGCCGGTGAAGATGTGCGGCCTGTCACCTCTTGCAAGTTTTTACTTTGATGCTTTCCAGACGGTGCCCTGCTCCACCAGTGAAACAACATAGAATCACAACAAACCTGTTCACGGGCAGTACACCACTGTACAGAAAAGTCAACCTTTAAATGAAAACAATTGAAACAACACATTTCGAACGAACTAAGAAATTGTTTTGTTTTCATGAAAAATTCTATATTTGAATAAAAGGTTTGACAAAGTCCCAAAATCTATTATTTCAACCTTTTTATAAAAACAACTCAGAGCTCTAACTTACAAATGACAAAACATTTAAGGTTAACTCAAGGTTTCACGCCGTTATACATGTGCAGTCTGTCATCCGTTACAGTTACTCACGCCATACGGTGCCATGCTGTGCCGGTAAAAAATAATCTTGTCTACATTCTGCATGATTCTGTGTAGTACACAACTGTATAGTCAACGCAAGCCTCGCTTTAATTTGAAACGAAAATATACAGCATAGTCCCTCGCCATTTTGAGGAACACTTATACTTCATTAAACATTTTAAGAAGATGTTTTTATACTTTACAAAAAGCAAGGCAAGACACCTATTTTTCAAATTTAAACCTTTATAAAAACACAACCTAGCTTTGGGAAAACACGGACCAAACCTACAGTAACCTGACTGGTTTTTTGCAGGGAACCAATTAATCAAACCGCACCATTTTCGATCCTCCAAACAAACCAGGGTGGATATATAAACGCTTACTAAATCAAGCAATACGGAATGGTTCAGAGTTCACCTCAACCATCCCACCACATAGCAACTGATGAGAATCGTAAGATTCGAAACCGCCGGTCTTGCTTGTAAACTTATATTTAACTACACACATTATGTAGTGGCACAAATAAGCCAGTCAATTGATTGGTAAAAAAACAACATGCTAATGGTATTGAAAAATATTGAGCTTTAAAATACTCTACTCTGATATTAAAACTACAAGTGACATTTACAAAGCGATTGAGTTTTAAAACGATATTCAAAGGACACAGCATCATAATGTATTTAAATCATGCTTAGACGCGATAAATACCCAAAACCAGTGTCAGATCTGGATATTTTTTTTTTAAAAAGACTACATATGTGCTGTGTACAGCTAAACATTGTTCTCTGAGATCGCGTAAACCTAAACTTACGGAGATATGAAAAGCAGTTACTCTAAGATAACGGCAGCTATGGAAAAATTACTATATTTTCGAGTAGACATATCTCATAAACGGGCTACAAATTCAACAGGAATACGCGCGAACTGAATAAATTGTCTGTTGAGCCAGGTTCTGCTCAATTTATACAGAATTTTCTCTTGCTGAACATAAACTGTACCGAACGGTATCTCCGAGTCCGCTATATAGAAGCGATATCATCGTTCAAATTTTAAACTGTAAGATCCCTGAAAGAAGTCTCCTCAATGGAGCAATATATAAAAGGTTTCAAAGGTTTCACGCCGGTGAAGATGTGCGGCCTGTCACTTCTTGCAAGTTTTTACTTTGATAGATAGATAGATAGTGTCTCAGTTGATAAAACATAACAGGTAGAACTCGGGGGTACGTTTGATTTAAAAAAAAAATGAAGGCTTAATATCTGAAAAAAAGTATGGTTTTAACATGTAAGAATGATAATGATAAAAAATCTACATTGTGGCGACATTGTTGTAACTAGTTTATTGCCCCTAAATAAAGCAGTTCTACCAAGGTATTTAATGTAGGATAATCGTATCGATGCATGCTTTCATTTAAGACTTTAACATCGAGAAGTCTTAGCCTTTAGCCTTTGTTTGGCTCTCATATGGAATTGCTTCAAGTTTGCGTTAACTTAAGAGTATTTAGGCTCGCAGATAACTACCGGTCACAATGAAAGTCGAAGAAAAAATTGCTAAAAGAAAGGTCTCGAAACCAGAAAATGAGAGAGCAAATTTACGTGGCCCTTACCGGATTCGGTAGTATTGACATTAAAATGAATAAAGCTATTACGAAAACGGGTAGGGGGAGATGAAAGCGAGCTTACCCAGCCCTTAAATTGATCTCGCACTTGTTTTTAGAAGAGACTAAGCTAGTTGTACAGCTGGTGTGACGGATTACACAGAATGGAGTATAAAAGGTTGTCACTTAAGAACTCGCGGCATTCTAGCTGAGTCATGAAGAGCGCTGTCATCGTAGGAAAACCGCCTTTGACATCTCTCTCTACATCAACCGAGGGTGTTGCGGGAGGCTATAACAACAAACAGAGCATGCGTATTCAGTAACAGGCAATAATAGCAAAATTAAAGTTTTAACATGTGTGCGCTAACAGTTTTTTCGGGGACCAAGGGACTTGCGTTGTCAAAATCCTTGAATTTCAATTTGGGAATCTAAAAAAATATAACACTTGAGAAAACGCGAAAATTAAAGTTTAAAAACAACGAACCTTCATTGAAACACAGAAACACACCAAACGGATCGAAATCCACCAATTTAAAAACCATGAACCATGACCTTTTGAACCCCTTGAAGTAAACTTCTGTTGTCTATGAGATCAGGTGCAGAAAGGGCAGAGACTTTAGATTTTTATTGGTAATGAGAAAAAAGCGGATATTTTAAAATAATTTCTAACATTTGAAATTATGTAAAAATGAAATAATCAGCATGTCACTAACGTGGAACAAAGAAAAACAAGGCAGGCGCTCTCTATCCACTTTGAACTACTGAGAACTCATGAAGAGCGAGGCCATATACTATACGTATATATATCTTTTTTTTTTTTTGCCGATGTTGGCGTTCCGAAAACATCAATTTTTCCGCACGTTGCAGAACTATCAATTCCTGTACTCACTGGAAGTGACTCGCTGAAAACATGAATAAATGGGTGGAGAGGATGGCTGTGAGGGGATAGTTAAGTCCACCACAAGGACCAACGTCACAGTCTGGACATTTCTAACATACCTCCCTAGATTCTATTAATAAATTGATTATTCAGTTGAAAAATGAGTCCCTTAGTCGTTCCCTCTAATAGTGATCAATTCAAATCGGCATTCCTACATGCGTAAAGAACAGTGAATATTTCAAGAAAACATACATGGCTATACATGGCCGTACATGGTAATACATGGCAATACATGGCTATACATGGCAATAAATGGTAATAGATGGCGATACATGGCAGTACATGGCTATACATGGCAATACATGGAAAAACAAGGCAATACATGGTGATACATGGCTATATACATGGCAGTACATGGTAATACATGGTTATACATGGCAATACGTGTCAACACATGGCTATAAATGGTAATACATGGCGATACATGGTAATACATAGTAATACATGGCAAAACATGGCAATACATGGTAATACATGGCAATACATGGCATTAAATGGCCTTGCATGGCATTACATGGCACTTCTCAGTGGTACTGTTTATTATGCTGTACTATTCTTGGTAATACATGGCTATACATGGCTATACATGGCAATACATAGCAATACATGGAATCACATGGCTATACATGGTAATACATGGCAATACATGGTAATAGATAGTAAAACAGGGCAATACATGGCAATACATGGTAATACATAGTAAAACATGGCAGTACATGGTAATACATGGCTATACATGGCAATACGTGGCTATACATGGTAATACATGGCAATACATGGTAATACATGGCTATACATGGCAATAAGTGGCTATACATGGTAATACATGGCGATACATGGTAATACATGGCAATACATGGTAATACATGGCTATACATGGTAATACACGGCAGTACATGGTAATACATGGCTATACATAGCAATACATGGTAATACATGGCTATACATGGTAATACATGGTAAATCATGGTAATACATGGCTATACATGGCAATACGTGGCTATACATAGTAATACATGGCTATACCTGGGTATACATGGTAATACATGGCAATACATGGCTTTATTATATACATACTGAGAAATACTCACCAAAAGCTATGTCGTAAATTTTCGTACGCAAATTAGTTCTAGCCAATCAGAGGAGCGAACGATAGTTTTCAAACGTGAAAAAAATGATACGTCCAATCAGAATCGCGAACAATGTTTTTTCACGTGTGAGAAAAATGATGCGTCCAATCAGAAGCCACAGAGGTGTTTGAGTTTCGCGCCAAAATTCCCGCCTTTTATTGCAGCTTGCAGCACCGCTTCGCACACATTCAACGAGAAACGTTTTACTGAAAGAGTCTGTCTCGCTAAAAAAGTGAAAAACATTTCGGAAATGGAGTGGAATAGCTTCGTTTGTTTCACTGTCGATAAAGAAAACGGTAGAGAGCCGGCGAAACAACAGCGGAAAGGGAAAAACAGAACAAGACGTAAGCTTTTGTTGTGCTTTTTGTCGGAGCTACTTTGCCTTTCATTTAAGCTTAACTTATATTGAAACCGGCCATTTTATATACTTAAATTCACTCATTTTCAATTGTGCATTGAGAACAAACAGTTAAGATTACTTATAGTTCTTGGATGACCTCATATCCTTACCGTCATTTATGTTTTTAACAAACGTTTTTACTAAAAACCGGATACCTCGTTTCCGTTGTCATTTTGCGGTATTAAAGTGTGTAGCGGCAAATTTTAGCAGTTTTGAAAGATTTAATATAAAAAGGCCGCCAAATTGATGAATGTCTCAGTATGTATATAATAAACACAATACCACATGGAAAGTTCTTTGTACGGTATTTACGCACTCGTTGTTTTTGCATCAGAAATCTTCCTCGTTCGCTGCGCTCGCTCGCTCGATTTCTGATACGTCAACAACTCGTGCGTAAATACCGTACGCCAGCACTTTTCATGAAGTATTCTCTATATACATGGTAATACATAGTAATACATGGCAATACATGGCAATACATGACTATACATGGCAGTACATGATAATACATGGCTATACATGGCAATACATGGTAATACATAGTAATACATGGCAATACATAGAAATACATGACTATACATGGCAGTTCATGGTAATACATGGCAATACATGGCTATACATGGGTATACATGGTAATACATGGCTATACATGGGTATACATGGTAATACATGGTGATACATGGCTATACATGGTAATACTTGGCAATACCTGGTAATACATGGCGATACATGGCAGCACATCCTAATACATGGTAATACATGGTAATACGTGGCAATACATGGCATTACATGGCATTACATGGCATTACATGGCTATACTTGGCATTACATGGCTATACATGTCAATACATGGCTATACATGGGTATACATTGCTATAGATGGGTATGCATTGTAATACATGGCTATACATGGCTATACATGGGTATACACGGTAATACATGGCTATACATAGTAATACATGGCAATACATGGCTATACATGGGTATACATGGCTTTACATGGGTATACATGGCAATACATGACTATACATGGCTATACAGGGTATACATGGTAATACATGGAATACACGGTAATACATGGCAATACATGGCTATACATGGTAATACATGGGAATACATGGTAATAAATGGCAATACATGGCTATACATGGTAATACATGGCTATACATGGCTATACATGGCTATACATGGGTATACATGGTAAGACATGGGTATACATGGGTATACATGGTAATACATGGCTATACATAGCTATCCATGGGGATACATGGTAATACATGACTATACATGGTAATACATGGCAATACATGGTAATACATGGCAATACGTGGCTATACATGGGTATACATGGCATTACATGGCTATACATGGCTATACATGGCTATACATGGCGAGACATGGCTATACATGGGTATACATGGTAATACATGGCTATACATGGCTAGACATAGCATTACATGGCTATACATGGCAAGACATGGCTATACATGGGTATACATGGCTATAGATGGGTATACATGGTAATACATGGCTATACATGGTAATACATGGCAATAAATGGTATTACATGGCAATACATGGCTATACATGGCATTACATGGCTATACGTGGCTATACATGGCATTATATGGCTATACATGGCTTTACATGGTAATACATGGCTATACATGGGTATACATGGCTATACATGGCTATACATGGTAATACATGGCTTTACATGGCTATACATGGGTATACATGGGTATACATGGTAATACATGGCAATACATGGTAATACATGGCAGTACATGGCTATACATGGCATTACATGGCTATACATGGGAATACATGGGAATACATGGTAATACATGGCAATATATGGCTATACATGGCATTACATGGCTATACATGTTAATAAATGGCAGTACATGGCAGTACAAGGCTATACATGTCAATACATTATTTTAAATGCATTCTTGATACACTTTAATAACCCTGCTTAAAGTACCTACCTGCTGTTGACAGGTGACGCTGTTGATGTTCACGAGCCGAGTGGCGAGTTTGTTTACAGCTTTGGTGAAGGAGTGTTCAAGCGTGCAACAGCTATCACTGCTACTGGTGATGGTCGCGTCATAATAGTGGACGATCTCCATTACAGAGCGTACACATTTGATGTGGAGGGACACCAGCTTGGCAAATTTAAAGTCAAATATAAAAGAAGTAGCAATGAGATGGATGAACTAACCGAGGGAGATCACTGTTATTGCATTGCATATCACCCGGCAAGAGACCATTTTGTCCTTGCTGGTGAGGATCGAGGGACAAACCGCCTGACGCTGGCCATATACACTTTTAGTGGCGAATTTGTTCGCAGAATTCAGCTGGATGAAAAAGTGCGTCACTTCCTTCTTTGCGGAGGCGAGTGTGTATTTGGAATAACAGTGACCGTGGAGGGTCACATTGCTGTGGCTTTTACAGACAAGCATAACAAAGGAAAGGTAATCGTTGTTTAAAACTAAAAAATTCGAAGACATAAGTCAACAGTTATTATTTTACTTTCATGAATAAATGTCTTCAAGGCAGATGTTTGGATTTAATGCTGTAGTTGGCTGGCATCACTGGACATGACTGGATTAGCCACTTATACTGTAAACAACTTCATCAGTGACTTCATCTCCTCTTACGTTTACTGATGTTTGAAATAAGTTTTGTGTTATAGCTCTAACCTCTAAAAGAAACCAAAACAGATAAAATGAATGACATACGTGCACTGTGAACAAGCTAATAAGAACCTACATTTTTTGAGGTCTGGCAAAAAAAAGGTTAATTTATTTTGGGGTAGTTATTAGCAATTTTAAGGCTAAGTACAACTGTAGGTTCTGTGAGGTTTTACTTTCTATGAAGGAGATGTACAGGCTGTCCCAAAAGTTTGTTCCTCTGATTTCATGCGCATTAACTTTTGATCAAAACTTTATTTTTACATGAAATTTCTAAAAGATGTTTATTGCTCTATCAAGTACATGATTGTATTCAGAAGTCCAGTAAGCTGCACTTCCCTCTTTTTTTTTTATCACATTCTGCAGCCGTTGCGGCATGGAGTGGGATAAGTCATCGTAGCGTCTAGAGCCCCAGATGAGCCACTAGTAGCGTTTTTATCACCTGGTACGCAGGAGCCACTTCTACCCCCAAACAATATCATTTTTTTTAGATTAGGCAGCCAAAAAAATATTTTGGGCAATATTATCTGAAAACAGATAATCATCCCGGCCTCTTTCTGCAGTAAGGCTTTTGTACTTCTTAACCAATGAGACTAGCTGAACTTTGCTTTGTGGACTGAGCAAGGTCTTTTTTTGCCATCTCATGGGCCTCCAACCGTCGCTTTTCATGAAACTGCCCCAGACTTAGCTTGCTAACTGTTGTTAGAGCCACCTTGTTGAGTTTCCTTTTTTTTGTACCCAGCCTATTTTAGAACTATGTTAGCTGCTTTTTTCAAGACTTTATGTTCTCCAGCAGGTTCTTAAACCACAATTTCTTATTAGTGGGTGCATGTTTACTGCAAGTACAGTAGCGTTCTTTTGTTTCTTTGACAACAAGTGGTATAATAATATTTTTATTTGTGCAGAATGGAAAATAACACAATCCATATTCGGCGGGTTTACAAAAACATCCTCATCATTTAGCGGCTTCTCTATAACTCTTTTTATTATAGATTCAGGTTTTTAAGCTTGAAATGCTCTAACTCAATCGCATGCCATATCAAAAAAACACCTTTGAAAACGTCTCCAGGAAAAAAAAATTATGAATAATAATATTAATTATGATGATCCCTACTTGATTTAAGTATGCAATAATGTGATAATCCATAATAATCCATGCAACCAGCCGTGTTGTTGGTTCAGATATGTCCCAAAAACATCGGCTGGTAACCAAGCCTATTAGTAAGATAATAAGATTTTATGCCAACAATTTTCACTGAATAAAGCATAAATAGTTTTTGGGCAGTGGTTTTCCCAGATTTTCAGTCAAAGTTAGCCTCTCTTTAATCCTAACGACACTAAGCAAATAATTTAGATTTGAAACTGCCACATGACGTACAGTGTATGATAAGGGGAGAGGGCTCCCTTCAGTTGACAAGCATCCCTCAAAACTGCCTTTGCTAAACTGTAATACTCTTCGAAGAACCTAGAATTTGAACCTCAGGTTTCAACCTGAGAACTCGCATTTTGAAGTCCATGACCGCAGCTCAAGAAGGTCGTGACATGCGCAGTGGCTGTCATGCTGCAAAAATATTTCCGATTGGCGTCCCTGGTACAGTCTGGTGCTTAAGCTCCTTAGTATCACGTCTAGAACTCGATGAAACAGACTTTCTCTTTAGTTTCAAGTATCACCCATACGTAAACATTTTTTAATTATTTTCTACTTCAGCAGCATCCAGGCCAAATATATTCTCAATTGATGGAATGATAGTGATTTCTGGGATAGCCTTCAATCGTCCTGATAGTCTCAGTCTTCTGAGAACATTTCCATATGATCGCTTCAAAATTTACACGATCCTCCCAATCGTCCGGACCAGAACTCAACTCTATTCAAGCGATCGATTGGGGTCGTCTTAGTCAAACGTGTCATTTGTGATCGTCTGGGTAGCGTTTTGATATGATTGTCCCGATCGTCTGAACATTTAATATTTGAGGTGACTGGGGCAATCTGAACGATCATATGGAAACCAGGCTTGACGTTGATACTGTTGTTTTTGGAATTTTAGTTTTAAAAGTTCTTATTATAGATTATCTACAAGCAGCACACAGCCAAAATGTGTCAATGACGGTGTTATCATAGACAGACATAATCAGGGAAAGGCTATAATGTAAATAGAATTTACGCTTATAAAAGAAATGTGATTTCCTTGGCCAGGGAAAAATCAGGAAAGTTTGGAAGTGGTCAGAAAAAGGCATAGGTGTTGAGTGAAGGTCTGTAAAAAGTCAGCCAGTTGTCAGAAAACACAGTGAAAATCATTAAAAAAAGTCAAAACGAAGAGTAGAGTATTATTGATTTTTTTTTCTGCTGCTGAGTTAGTGACTCTATTTATGAACAACAAGCAAACAAAACCTTAAAAAAATCGTTAAGTGAGCAAAACAAAGTGTATAAGGTGTCGACTGAGAGTTTATACTTAAAATAAAATTTATTTATGTAAACAATGCCAGTAATAGTCTGTTATTCTTTTAATAAAGTTATAAGTAATAGATGTTTATTATTAATTGAATACGAATCCGGTGACGTCCAGTGAAGCCAACCAACTGTATACATGTAGCAATTACAAAACTTTGCCTTTGATTACATTCGTCACGAAAAACATCTGCACTGTTCACTTACTGTTATGTCTTCGAGTTTATTGGTTTTAAACAATGATAATGAAAGGGTGAGTTGAATAAGACAAAAAGTGACTCTTGATCTAATGTTGAATTCTCCCTTTGATCCAAAAGCAGGTACATTAAAGGCTTTAATTATTTTTACACCTCTGTGTAGGAAATTTTTTTTAGATTTTTAGGTATTTTTAGGTTTCTGCGTCTGTAATTTGACAGATGGCAATTTTTATTAACACGTAACACTAAATAATCTATGCATTTGGTTTGGGACATGAATTTTAAATACTAGATTAACATAATCAAAAACTAACTAAAAAGGTCTAAATTTCCTGATAAGCATGCAAGGCAACAAAAAAATAGGCAGGGAGATTTTATTGAATAGTTGATCGATAGTTTAAAAAGTGCCAAAACTTTCCAAGTACTTTTTAGGGGCGCGAGTGCCATCAAGGTTTTGTGTTATATGTACTTCAAAATCCAACAAATACATATATCATTATGGAAATCCACTTAATTATTCCCCATTTTTCACCTGGACCATAATGCACCTTGTCTTTCCCCTAAATTTTGCAGAACCATTGTCTTCAATTTCTCTTTGGACTACTGTAATATCCAGGAAAAACTGGAAACAAAATGCAAAATTTTGGGTGGCAAACAAGGTGCATAAATTGTGGTCTGTGAAAACGGTGAACAAACCTAAATTGCATTTCTAGAAGTCATGAAAACAGTGTTTACGCCGCAAGAAAAAAGAATAAGTGGACTAATCCATAAAAAAAGCTGGGCTGATCTGTTTCCAAGTTTGCTGGAGTTCTTCATTGAAAGGTCATTTTGTGCAACTCCGGGTGAGTGTGCCTTCATTCTCCTAACGTTTGCACAAAAACGCAGGAGAAGAGTTTTGATACTGGCCCTTAAAATTAATTGTCTTAAAAAAATTCCGCATCTAAACGGGTGTAATAGCAATATTATGTACGGGATGTCTTGGGAGTGGATACTTTGCAGAGAACACTTAGTGTTGGTTATTAAAACAAAGTCTTACTAAAACAATGAGCTTTTAAAAATGTCTGGGCCCCCTAAAATAGATAATAAATGATTTTCAAGTGTAGCCTGGAAGCCTTTGTAATGCCGTTACATTAACAGCAAACAATGTTTATAGATATGTACACGAAGTAGAATGCGATAGTTCTGTTATAGTTTCAATATTACTTTATTTAGGCCCGGTTCAGACGCTCATCTTTTCACGAACCGAACCTAATGCACTGAATAACGGACATGAAAAGTTCCGCGTCTGAATCAGTTAGGAACGCCTATTTCAATTTGGAACCGGGCTCTGTCGTTCTTCACGGCTAGCCCCTCTGGTAATTTCGACTGTGGAACGACTTTAGAACGGTTTTGATTCAGACGCCGAACTTTTTGTGTACCGAACCTACTAATGCATGAATTATAATAACGTATTTTCCAAGCAGTTTGACCAGAATGAGCACTTTTCTCCTTTTGAATTTAGTTCAGCAGGAATTAAGATCGGCGTCTGGATCAATTCAGGTAGTCTAAATGGTTTCGAATAAGGTTCGGCTCGTGACAATTTCGGCGTCTGAACCGGGCCTCAAAATCCACATGTGCCTTAAAAGGTGACATGTTTCAAGTTGGTCATTTGTGTCCAGTTTCTGCAAAAGTTTTCCTAAATTATGATTTAGTTAATTATTACTGAGCTTTCGTGTGTTTAACAGAAAGCTACATGTACGTAAATGGAGTTAATATTTCGAATTCTTATCTCTTCCCTTTGTGGGTTTATAAACAGATAGCTTTGTAACTTATATGCAGCGTTATTTCTAGTTATTAGTATTGACCAAGCGTGAGTGGGTCAAATGGCTGGAAATTGTTTCAGTTCTCAATGTTTTAATGAAACAATACAAAGTTTGTGATCAACAAGATCTTTAATCTAAGTTAAAGTCTAGCTGGCTGTTTCGTTTGGTGTGGTGTTTGAGAGAAATCCCTCACTTTACAAACCACAAACGAAACCACCACCCTATTCACTGCGAACAAACCGCAAGCTGCGGCACAGGCTACAAGTTCTTGGAAAGTCAGTGTTTTGTTGCATGTTCTCCTTGTTTTTAATATAAAAGTGATTTTCTACATAGCAATACAGAAGAATTTTA